TATAAAAGACTAGTAGACCCATCACAACATTCTTACTCTGCAATATAATTCCAAGAAAGCACTGACTCTGTGATGAGACAGGACCAGTTTAGCTGGTGATAAGGTCAATCTGAGATATAGTGGAATTGCTGTCAGGGCCCATTGGTCATAAGAAGCTATATATTAAAAGAAATCTGCTAAACTTTTCTCAAGGGTACACTACAGGCTATTCAATTTTTTTTAAAAAATTCAAACTTTATTTTGCTATCAACAGCTGGCTGGAAAAGTTTTGACCTTGCCATGGAAATTATCTGATCACTTTTGAGTTGCTCTGTACAGAGAGAAGACAAGGGAAGAGAACTGGACAGCGCAGACTGATTAGCTGTCTCCATGTTTTTCCTGTCATGGTCAGGGGTTCTAAGATCCAGTTTGTTTCTCCCTGTAGCTTTTGTAAATCCTGTTGTAAACAGGCTATCACCTCCATAGATCATGATTTCATACGTTGCAGCAGATTAAAAAAAACAAAAACCTTCAAGTTCTGAAAACAAAAACATTCAAAGTAATCAAAGATTAAAGTGTAAGTTATTACCAGCATTACATTTCCTATCTGAATAAATCTTCTGAAACTGAGGTAGGCAAATTTCACTAAAACAAGCAATATTCTTACAAAGATTTTTTCTGCTTCCTTATCAAAAGAGAAAAAATTTGAAAGGGAAATATAAATGCATCTAAAATTCTATGAAGAGCCAAATCCAAATCTGTTTATCCTACTCATCCACTACTGTAGTAATATATACAATGTATTCAATTAAATATACACAGTAGACAAAACCCTGAACTAATGTTGATTAAGAATTATGCAAGGAATGTCCCTATAAGCTCCTGTAATGCAAGTGCACTGTAAGATGAACTTTTGTTTAGATTTCTTCCCAAATAAAAGTTTTGCATTTCATTCGGACACAAAAGAACAAAATAATTCTTCTGTTATGGCTTCCTGGTCTCATGGAAAATTGTATCTAAGTACACTCTAAGAGAGAAGTTCATCTATGAGCTTCCACAGACCAGCACCGGCCTTCTCATGAGAAACAACTAAATAATGACTGTTTTTTTCCACCATGACGATTAAACCTGACCTGTGTGTGACATGGAGGGAATAAGGAGCCATGTGCCCTTCAACTGCAGTAACAAGAGTAGAAGCACACTGTGAGGAGAAGGAAAAAGATCATGATCATGTGGTTTGGAAATCAAGAGCAACAGAACAGTCAATCCTAGTAACTGCAAATAATCTGGGCTTCTATGAGTGCCCTGCCATGATAAATCCACAAGGCTCTGCGCTGGAAGGAAAAATTAAAGCCTGTCTCATGCCTCACTTGTGCCGCTGATTGAGCTTAAAAAGAAAATGAAGATAATCTTTTTAAAGTTATTCAATCAAAGGCAAAAAATGTATTCTGGACATTTAACAGAATAAGCTCATTAATGTGGGGTAAAATAATTCTTTAGAAATTAGCCAATATCCTCACCCCAGATTTCTTTCAATTTTATGGGTATTAGTTGGATAGAACTGACTGTTCCAATATGTAAATTCTTTCCATTTATTACTCTGCCTCAAGTTATAGTTAATGTGTTCTTATGAACAGAATCAATTATTTCCTAAGTATTTGGCTTCTTTCACATACATACATACATACATACATACATACATACATACATACATACAAACACTCATTCATTCATTCAATTTTTGGAACCAGGGATCCAACTTAGGCCCTTGTGCTTGCGAGGCAGGCAGCAGGACCACTGTGCCAAATCCCCGGCCCTTTTTTCGCTTTTCATAACATATTTTTTCCAAAAGCACAGAAGTGATGATGTCCTTCAACAAACAGACTAAACAGAATGATGTGAACAAACTCGTGAGACCAAAAATGGGAGGAATAAAAGGTGTACACAAAACTCAAGGCAAATGAGGGTATACTCACTATGGCCAATATCACACTGAGGAAATCCATAGAACATTAAAGGAAATTTTATCTTATGGTTCTTTTTAAGGTGAACCATCATTTGGGACAGCAAATCACTACCAAGACTGCCATTCTTCAAGTTCAGACAGGAATAACGGCAACTTCTTCACGAAAATGGAAAATTAGAATAAGCCTGCTCTGTGTCCCATGGCATAATCTCACACACACACATTTTCCCTTCTAAAATTGAAAGTAGATCAACTTACATGGCTCTCTGGCAATGAACTGAGGTACAGTGTTGGGCAGAGGAGTACTGGGATTTGGAGTTCCTACTAGTTTGTTCTTGGCCATCTTCGTGTTTGCCTTAGCAAACTCTAGTCGTAGTGTTTGCGGAATTTCAGGATCGAAGCGGATGCCCTTTGGAAATAAAGAACAAATGGAAGATGTTTTCATTTCCTTAGAGTCAAACAAGAATGGTGACAAAATAATACTCCAGTAAACCCTGAGCTATCAGGAAAAAAGGTAAGTGTTCTCATTCTCACTGTTTACTCAGAATATACAAAAACCCACAATACAGTGTCCAGAAAGTCAGGCAGATTTAGCTTACTCCACTAAAAAACTGCATTACATGGATTTTCACCTACCCCTTTTCTTCTGGAAGAAAAACTTTTAAGTTATAAAACTGAAAAGAAGCAAATTCCTGCCACAATAAAAAATTTTGATGGCTATTAATAAAAGTGACAAAAATGATTATTGATAAACAACAAAAAAAAGCTAACACTGGGAATCTGACACCTGAAATCCTGAGAGGCCTGGTCTCTAGTGTTATGAACGACATAATTCCTCAGTGCTTTTAGTTTTACTACCTATAAATGGAGAGAAAGAATCCCATTTCCTTCTAACACAGGGCTTGACATAGTTAATACAAATTACTTAGAAGATAGGAATTAGAAGTTTGCATAATTTCTAACACTTAATATACTATAATCCTAGTTAACTTAGTTATATAAAATCCTGACTGCATTATATTTGGCTTATTACCTACATGGAGAGACTAAGAATTACATAAGCCAATGACATATTAATATTGATTACCCTTGCCACTACTACTGTAGTTCATCTTAAAATATTATATTTAATAAATCACAAAAACCATGAAAAAGATTACAGCAAGCAAAGTCTATTTTAAAACACTTTTCAAGAATTTCTTTATTACTAAGTGTACCTAAGAAACTAGTAAAAACTGTGTCCAATGCCCTGAATTCCGTACCATGAAAGTACTGGAAATCCCAGTACAGTACGTATACACACCAAAATACTCAAGTCCTCCTGTCCAAGTCTTCAAAATGAATGCCCTAAGAATACAGGTTTTCCAAGTAGTGCTCTGAATGCACAGACATGGGCCTCATGGTCCCCGAAATGTTATTCTTACTGAACTTGAAGAAGAAAAAGAGCAACTGCCACAAAAAAGGGTAAGATACCCTTTATTATGTAGACCAGATTGAACAATTCTGAACTTCACTGGCTAAGTTCCAAAGATGCGAGGATGAGGCTGTGACCCGAGGGTAACAGCTGTGAGAGGCAATGGGGGAAGAATATAGGAGAGAGGTCCTCAGAAAGGTACAAGAGTCACAGAGATGTACTGGAGTAGAATTTCTCCATGAGCCTGGTACGTACTCATTCTTTGAGAAGAAATCAACTGAGGGTACCAGACTGTGGAAGGTCCATTTGTAGGGTGTCCATGTGTTTAGAACTAACAAAAGTGAACATGAAAAAGACATTTTCTTTAACTATTTTTGTTGGTTTTTTTTAAATGTGGGAATCTTCATTAGTACTCTCTTGCCAAAAACATACATAAAGAAAGCACGCTGCCTTTACTTTCTAGCACCTGTTTGCTTCTACCCGCTTACCATTAAAAAGCGTTTAACTTACCAAAGCTATTATTTCAGCAGAATAGCTATTCCAAATATGGACCCAAAGAGCTGTGCCTGTGTTGGGAGACAAGCATGACCCCTGACTGTTATATAAAACTATGCTGTAGGACAGAGGATGTTGCTCAGTGGCAAAGTATGATGTCCTGGGTTCCATCCCCAGTACTGGAAAACAAAGGTATGCTGAGGAAGGCTCTGTGCCTTCACACCACACCCAATCAAACATGCAAAGCAACAGTTTGCCATCGATTTCAGGCCATCTTCCAGACAGTATACTCTACAAATCTTACTGGGAAGAAGGAACTCTCTGAAACCTAGGCTCCCATCCGTAAGAGAACCTTACTGCAGGTCCAGGAGGTGGGGAGGAGGTTGGGATGGGACACATCTATGGTTCTCTGAAGCTTTGAGGCGTAGACAGTGAGCCTGAACATTTGAATTCTACGTCTCCGCTTGCTCACTGGTGTTCCAGAATTAACAGAGGCTCTACACAATGTACTTGTCGCTTATACAACCAGGGTTGGTGCCCAGTATCCTAAAATATGCTGAACTGAATCTCCCAACTCCTTCCCCCTTTCTTCATACCCCTCTTGTTTGAGCTAAAATAACATCAACATGATGTTCCAAATCAAAGTTCCAACATCCTTATTAAAAGGTTGGGGGGAGCTCAGAAGTTAAAATGACCTAATTTGTTTGGCAGCTTATACAGAGGCCAGAGGCTTAGAATACAAGCCACATTCCTCCAACATCTTTAGCAGCAACACCATATTTGGTAATCAATATCCTGCTCTGCAAAGTTTCTCTCCATAGGGATTAGCTATGCCCCAAACATTTGAGATGTTAAAGAATGATGAAGAGGAGACACAGAGAGTCAGGGGAAGGGAGTACATGTAAGTGAAAAAGGGAAAAAGCAAAAGACAGGAGAAAGTTGAAATAGAAAGGAAGTAGGCGAAATGGAAAAAAATAATACCTTGTGTTTTTAATTAAAGCCTAGTAAAATTTCTTCTCTGACTAGAGTAACTTCACATTAAATGCTGCCAGGACAAGATTATTGTCAAGTGGAAAGGAGAATCTGTGTCTTCCAACCACCCCCTGCAATTTATAATTTACCAAAACTGCTCACATGTATCAATTAATCAATATAAAATCCTCCTTCAAACACAAAGGGTGTCCTATTTGCAAAGACCAGTAAGAGTAGTCTGCTGATACTACTGTGGCATTAACGTGAGGATAGAGGATAGACAGTTACTTAGCAGCCATCCAAACCAACTGCGACTGCCAACAAGTCTCCACCTAATCAGGTTCAGTATGATTCGCAAAGGCTATGTTCCCCACCAGGGGAACCTATGCCAGATGTAAGACACTGCTGACACTGTGTATTTTTTGTTTGTTTGGTACAGGGATGAACTTGGGACCTTGGGCTTGCAAAGCAGGCGGCGGAACCACTGAGCTAAATACTGAGCCCCACAGCAGAGTGTCTCTGCTGTCTCATGTAAGGTAGTGAGTGCCTGAGTAGGCAGTATGGAGGAAGTGATGGGGCAGCATAAGTTCAGCAGGTGGCAGTCAGTCCAGGAAAGGGCTCAGCACATTTCTGTGTGACAGGATATCGAGAGGGTGTGTCCATGTGGAGGAGAAAGAGTTCAGCAGAGGCAAGTTGGGGTGAGATCACAACAGACCTTTTATGTCCCTAGTGAGGGCTTTGGAGTGTGCACAGGACTGAGATCCTCTCTAAGTGACCAAACATGTTTTCTCTTTGGGAGATTTCACTTTGAACATAGACATACAGCTCTGGAGGTGGCAGGGGTGAGCCACCCAACCTCATTAGAAATAAGTATCCAACTTCCTCTCACTGAGGTGCTCCTCATACACCTTAATACTCAATGAGAGTCATATCTGTACAACAGTGTTCAGTAAGAGTCTTATTATGTACAATAAACGGTGTGTGTCAATTCTGTAAGCTACCAGCTATACCAGGGTCTTTACAATCCTTGACAATGAGTTTTAGGGGCAAGGGAATCAATCATTTATAGAAAAATAAAAAGGTAAAGAATGAGACCAAGACACGCGTACTTGCTGTAAAAAGATGTCCCCAGTTACATTTGGTTAAGATAATTGCACAATGCCTACTAGTATAAAATCAAAAGGGAGAAAGGGCCAAGAAAGAGTGTGTTTAAGGGTGTGCCATGTGTGTATATGTACAGTAGTATATGTCTTTTTTCTCTTTGGTAACCAGATCGAACTTGGGACCTTGTGCTTGTTAGGCAGGTGGCGGAACCATTGAGCTAAATGAATCCCTGGCCCCAGTAGTATATGTCAATCTGTGTAAGGCCAGCAATGTTTATAATGAGATAACCAATCTATTAATAATGGGAACCTTGGGGAAGGAAGGCAGTGGTCCAGACACACTGCACAGTTTTGATTTGTTTGAATTTTTTACAAATATGTAAAATCTTAAACAGAATTGTTTAAAAAGGGGACAAGAGCTGGAGCAAATGTACACATGCATGGATACACACACACTCACTCTCTCTCTCTCTCTCTCTCTCTCTCTCTCTCTCTCCCTATTTTTCTCCCTGAGCTGCTTTAAGTACAAACACAACGCCCCTTTATCCTGATTTATTAAAAATGGAGGAAAACAAACAAACAGTCAAACAAACAAACAGGGGCATCTCTTTGCTTTCTGGACCTAGGACTGAGTCAAGTATCATGAATATTTACTTGTCAGGGTGCGGGATTTAGCTCACTGGTTCCGCTGCCTGCCTTTCAAGCGCACGGACCCAAGTTTGATCCCCGGAACAACAACAACAAAAAAGTGAAATGAATATTTACTTGTCATATGTCTCTAGTCTTCTTTAATCTGGAAAAGTTAAGTCCTTCACGACCTCGACGTTTTCTTAAGAGTATAGGCAATTTATAGATGCTCCTCAATATGGCTTCATTTAAAGTTTTTCTTGTTTTGCTTAAATCAGTCGCTACTAAGACTGCCAAATGAGGCTTTGATAACCTATTCTTTTTCTATATACCAACTTTCTACTTCAAGGTATATCCCTATTTTATTCAGTATAGCAACTTTACATAGCATTTACATTACATTAGATATTATAAATAATCAGATGATTTTAAAATCACAGGAGAATGTGCAAGTTATATGGAAATGCAACATACCATTTTATGCAAGAGGCTTGAGCATCTGGGGATTTTGATAATCTCCGGGAATCCCAGAACCAACCTCTTATACATAACAAGGAATAACTATATTTATTTTGGTGCTCAAATTTTCCCAGAGTTCTATACATATTTGTGTGCATGTGCAAACATACAAAGTTTCACATTCCTATTTTATTACATCATATGGACATAAAAAATAAACAAATATATTAAAAGTTCATACTAACAGCACTGATTGCAGATCAACACTACTAGGATAATTCTAGCATTCTCCCTTATGTATTTGTACTTTTTTCTCTGATGAGAATTCTCGATCTCATT